TTCGGCGTTTAAAATAATATTTCAGAAAACAAACCCCATCACGTTTCTAAGTATACATTAGTGTATCACTGGACAAAATAAGAAAACATTTCATTTTTCATCATGTGCCACCAGTTGCTCGGTGATAGTGGAGATTCCCTCTTAAGCTTTACTTCGTCTACGTCCACTGTCGACTTTCACAGTGCACGCTCTTTTATACTAACGGTTGAGGGAATCTTTGTACACGTGGTCTAAGAAGTGGTGTAGGTAGGCAGGTAAAACTTTATTTTACTACGCTAACCCCCAGCCTAGTCCCAGGCTCTCTCTCTATTCGCTGGTTTGATATATTTAAATAAGTCTTAAAAGTTTTATGCCTGGGTGTGCTGTGCGGAACGCTTCAGCGAGAGAGCCTAGCAGATTTCGGTAAAATGGTCCCTGATTTCATAAAAGTGGTCCCTGGCCTGGTTACCAAGCATACCGCATTTGTAAATGGAAAATGTTATGGAAATTTCCTTTTCATTTATAATTAAGTCATTAGTTTTGCTCTAATGCTGTCGGAATAATGAAGTAGGCTACGTTTCGCGGCCATACGCGTACATACATATTTTACTAAAATATATAGCCATATTAAATGCTATCTAGAAGCTTGAAAATTATGCCGAGTCCCCGACTAAGAATGTTTTGACAACACCGTCATGTCAGGCAAATACTTCCAATCTCCTCAGCAATTTAAACCTGTCAAGTAGAAAGCGTAGTTGTGTATACCAGTATGGTCTAGTGTTGATCACAACTTGCGAGTACATAAATAACATCAACGATTGCTCAAACTCGGTATCGTAAATTTGTATATAAATTGTTTTAGTTGAGCACATTTTTAATACAGTTTCATTTGGTTATGTAGACATCGAACATGTACATGATGAACGAACATTGTCGTATTTATAATTAAAAGGTTACTTGTATATATAAATTTTCCGCCATATTAAAAATACTGAAATCTGCTAGGCGTTCTGAAGCACCTTGAGCGGTGACGTCACACCTAGGTCCTAGTCTCGTACTACATCCACTTTTTTCTCGCGCTTGCTTCAGAACGACAGGGACTAGGCTGGCTAACCCCTACAGCAAAAGCTGATTTCCAAGAGGGGCGTAGCATTAAATTCAAAATTACATTAAAAATTTAGAAATATTAAACATACAAATACAGTTACTTGCATGCAGTTAATACAATTACATACATAATTAAATAAGTTATAGTAAATACTAATAGATTAAATAGTCAAGGTAAATATGGATTTGAAAACTCCAATTAGTAGCCAGGTGTCATACGTTTTTGTTGAATATAGCTAGTGATTCTTTCCTCTTCATTCATTTGGGAGACTATTCCACATTTTAGGCCCTCTATAGCTAAGACTTTTTTAAAGATATTCAGTTTTAGGCTTGGGCAAATGGAGTTTAGTGGAAGAGCCCCGCAAATTGTAGTGCTGGGAGGAAGACGTCTTTTGAAAAATATCAGTAAGTCGTAAGGGCGATAGATTTTGAGTAATTTTATACATAAGACTTGCCACAAACTGGGTTCTGCGTTCGCTCAGAGGCATCCAGTTTAATTCATATAGAGCAAGTTCAGATTGACCATGTTCATTTTTACGACCCACGATAGCTCTAGCAGCCCTATATTTTGTAATTTCTGGAGACTATCAGAAAGTGTGGTACCAATGGTGTCCCAAACTTCGCAACAGTAATCAAGGTGAGGCAAAACAAGTGCATTATAGGCACAAATTAATGTATTACGGTCTTTAAAAAAAAAACGGTCGGGAATGGACTGAAATGGTATTTTATAACCCTCATCAACTATGTTTTGAACGAATTGCGAAGCGTTGAGTGTATTTTTCCAATACATGGATGACCGAGCAAGTCCGCCGCGAACACTAATTAAACCCACTGATGATGTATCAACGTCATCACTATTTAAATAAAAAGAGAATGACCCAACCTGGTCGTCGTATTCGCACACTTCGCCTACATCTAGTCAGCTGGCGGCTGGCCTTGCACGAGGAATTGCTGCTGTCCCTTGCATGTGACAGTTCCGCTGAAGGTGACCATATTGTAGAAACTGCTAAAGAAAATATATATAGATATAAATACACGTATATATACCCACATACAGACAGTATACATATGTACATACATATTACATGACATAATATATGAGGAACAGCTGATAAATAAATCAAGTGATAAAGTAAATTTAACTGTGTAACGTGAAAGCAGCGAGAGCAAACAACGATCACGTTGCTGCTCGTATAGCATTTGTATATGACAAAGGAATGCTAATTGCATGAACATTATTCTGCATATCAAACAATTAGATAGTAATTATCTGCTAAACTGCGTAACCCAGATAATTACAACTTTTACCCAACACCATTTGGCCTCGTTTCCATGTTAACATATTTTAGCATGTCAGGGGCAGATAAAGATACATTCCCATCAGCTTTCTGGACGAATTTGTTTCGGGCTGTTCTGAGGCTCAATAACAAAGTACGGCCTAATTTTAAACCCTACTAAACACAAGACATGAGTAAGTATTTGACATGAAAACGAGGCCATTGGGTAAAAGAGACTGAACATTTTTACTTAAAACGTTACAGTTTTCTTGTTTTAACCAGTTACATCAATATGCTATACAGTCTAAGTTGATAAAGTTTATTGATGTGGATGAACCCGTTACTGCTCAGGTAACTTTTGTTTTTAGCGAAGTGTAAAACCCTCTGGTGGATATCAATAAATTTTGGGATTTAGAGAGCATAGCGGGGATAAACTGAAGATCAGAGTAGTGATGTACATGAATCAGTGATCAGTGATTTAACGTTTAGTGGTACACGTTATTCAGTTGGGTTTACCTGGAAAGAAGCCAGGATCCCCGTTGCCCACTAACCATGAATTGATTCTTAAGCGTATGAAGGGACAGATATAGCGCCTCAATAAGGATCCAGTATTATTAGGTGAGTAGGACTCCATCACAAAAGCGCAAGAAGAGGCAGGTGTTATTGAAAAGGTAAGCCCGAATAATGTATATTAGTATAAACCTACTAGTAGGCTATCACATATCGTGCCTTTTGATTGGCTACGCTACTAGTAGACTATTAGTGATAGCCTACTAATAGAAAATTCAAAATGGCGGAAAATTCGCGTTTGGCACTTTGCATGAAATTTTAAAATTAAAACTGAATTTTGTAAAACATTTTACGCGAACAAAAACTAAAATATTTGTTTACCTTTAATGGTTTTATAATGTGTTTTTTTCCGAATTTTTGTATTGTGTTTGCAGCCTAGTTGTAAATTGATGTTAAAGTTTATACTAAAACAATTGGACAACTCGGCCTCGTTGCCTAATTGTTAATTAGTCCCCAAGTCAAAAATACATTATATACCTCATCAAGCTGTTATGCGTAAAGACGCAACAACGACGAAAGTCAGAATTGTTTACGACGCCAGTGCTAAGTTGCAAAGGTCTGGGGTTTCATTGAATGATTGTTTGAATGATGGACCCTCGCTCAATCCACTTCTTCTTTTATCTTTTAAAACTCTTTTAAAGCACGGCCATTAAACTTAGTAAGTGCACGTACTAAGTCTGTTTCATTCATATCTTCGGTTCAGTAAACGTTATGTAGATGAAAATACCACCATTCGATTCAGTGTAAAAATATATACTAGTTTATAACGATAGTTTTAGTCAATGGGTACATTGTAGCGATTTATAAGCTTTAAAAGTCAAACGGGCTTATATATGATCAAATTACGCAATATTACTAACAAATTATAAACATAGACATACCTTTCGCCGAACATACACTGTAAATTTCAGGTGGTAATTTTTACCCAAATTTGGGGTAATATTTACCACATTCAAGTGAGTATTTCATTAGGGGTAACAAATTACCCCAGAACTTTGGGGTAATTCCCATTAATTTGGAGAACTTTCGCTCTTATTAAAGAGGCAATGAATACGACTGACAATAACTGCTCTTTTACGGGAGTAAAATAATTTTATGGCGTAGAAACTGCCCCATGCATCTTGGGGTAAGGTTAGTTATAAGGAAAACTTACAAAGTGGTGGATTTTTAAAAAAGAAGCTTGAAATGTCCGATCATTGACTTCTTGAATTATAAACATCTGTTATTTTTTAATGAAAAGTTTACTTTCCTGCGAAAAAGGTAAAACGGCGCGATCAAATGTATGGCGCTAAAGCATGAGCTACTTGCAAATTCACCGCCTACAGTTTTAATTAATACCGCGTAATTTTTCAGGGCAACCATCAGTTTATTTATATTCAGAAGCTTTACTTTCCTAATGCAATCTCAATTATAGTTTTGTTTAACACGCATTGCTGCTCCTGTATTTAGGGTAAAATTTAAACAGAGAAATATACAGGGGCAGGGGTACATATATTAATTAAAGGGTAACATGGCGGGGGGATCATATAGGGGTAGATATTACCTCCCATGGATGAGGTAGCAAGAAAAAAACAAAATGGCGGATTCGAGGAATGCACTGAGCAAGGAATGAGACAACAACATTGGTGGCCCAGGAAGTCTACTATGCATTGATACGAAAGATATTTTGATCGTACATAACAAAAGAAGTAAATTGGATGTAAGTATTGATAGTAACAGTATATTATGTTTATTGTTTGTATTTTTATAAAAACATATTCTAGTGTTGCTTTTATATAAAAACTTTATAGTGTTCAGTGTTGAGTATAAATAATAATCGCTCCAAAATATCTTGCATTTACAGCACTGATGTACGCTGTTATACTCAGATTTGCTAGAAGTATATTGATTATTAATTAATCTTCATGTTTATGTAACTGGCATTTGATATTTTGGGCACACAAACATTTTGGCATATCCTTGAAATACAGCATTGACTAAATGTAGTGGGAAAGGATATAATAGCTGTTTTTGTTCAATTATCTTTGACCTTGCTGTATTGTTCACCTCATATGCATTTAAATGGCCATTAAATAACACTATGCACAGTATGTCAGTAATGAACAATATCTTCTCCAAGTTCCTCTCAATTATGCATATCTCCTTCAGGACCACAAAGCATGGAGTTTCTTCATCGTCATGACCAATCCACAAAACACACCCAACCTTGAATATTATTCCTTGAACTGAAATCCATTTTATCCTGAAAATGTCATATGGTTTATCATAATTGTCAATCTTCATGCATAGAACAAAGTAAGTTTGACATTTTGTTATATAATTATTTTTGTTATATATTTATATAATTACATTGATTGTATTTCATAATTAAAGTTAAAATCTCATGTTTCACAAAGCTTCCTGTGTGGGCGGCCGTCCTGCACTGTTTGTTGCTAAGGTGGTTGAAAATCACTTTTAATATTATTTTTCGTCAAAGAAGCTCAGAAAGGATTGTACACTGATTTATACTATGTTGTATACTACCGGGCGCTCTCACATGCTCCCGAGCACTCTGGGCAGTATTTACTAGGACCATTAAAAATATTAAATACAAGTGTAATTATATAAAGGAAGTGGAAATGTTTCAATATAGTATTTACACTGGATATGTTTGGAACTAACTCGAGAGTCTAACATTTGGTAAACTCACTTGATTACAGTAATACCTGCAGAAAATTATTCTTTAAATTTATGAGTCATTATTTGCTTGATCATATTAAGTATTTTGCATTTTTCGTCTTAGGGACCGGTCATTATTTATGGCAGGGGTGGGGGCCGAAGAGAAAGTATAATGAAGCCGGAAAAAATCATTACCCCACCTTTTTCGAAACAAAATTTCTAGTTACCCCACCGGTGGAATGCCAGAAAATTTTTTTACCCCACCCAAACCTATTTTGTTGCAATGTCAAAGGTTTAGACATAAAATATGTAATGAAACAGTTTAGTATTTTGTATGCGTATTACTCATCAAGGTACAAAATTGCCCTTGATGAGTAAGATCATCTGCTGTTAGAGAGTAAATAATAATTATTATTGGGTGCTTTGACCACAGTGGACATTATAATTAAAAGGGAATAGGATTGATTGGTAATACTTGTTTACCAATATCCCTTGTCCCTTATTTCTTGTGGAGTAATTTAAATAAAGCACACTAACAGTCATGCCTTTATATTATGGGTTACCCCTACAATAGCAAGGTACTATATAAAGAATTATAGTTATCTGAAGGCTTAAAATTTGTCTACTTGTAAAATTGAAATATGAATGGGTTTTTATAGTTTGTATTCAACGCTATATTCCCTTTTCACGAGATAGTGCAAATGCTAGTCCCATAAACATATATTAACCATATGCTTCAATATTTTAGAACACTAACCGTATTTCACCACCCTATCTCTTTCCCACTTTAAAGTTTCACTGTATATAATTTGGTTTCTTTCACATTCTTGCATTTCTTTATTAATTAAAATGCAATTTTATTTTGAAACAGTTTCACAAAATATGTGCTCACCCATGATTGCAACTATCTAAATTCTAAAATTTCCTATGAAATTCCTTTCATATTTCCTTACTATAGACATTAGACAATCACATGTATTATCACGGAATTTTAAAGGAATTCCTTAAGAATTCCCAAGGAATTCTTGAAGTTTATAAAATCAATTTAATATTTTAATTCGTAAACAATACAACGATACTAAAGTATTTGTCCCATGTGAGAATATCTGAATTTAGAAAGTTACTGTAAATTAATGAGAAAAAGTTGCTGTTATACAGTGTGAAGATAAAGATATTCATCCGAATTCCAAGTATGATTATATAAACAATTAAATTAATCTGTAAAACGGGTAAATAGATTTCTCTTATTTTATCCATGTACATGATCTGCTAGTAAAGAAAAACAGCTAGTTGCCAAAGGCTAGAGTTGAACATATTGTGAACTAGCCATTGGAATGATTCTCCAGATTCACAAGGGGCATATTTCATGATTTGCTACCTGAATTGTCCACATGGTTTACACGCACATACTGGATATAAATATTAGTTATGCAGTACGTATCAAGTGTAGATGCCCAAAAATTAAATCCTGAAAATTTAATAGACTGTACATATACTTTTTGAGATATGTAATAAGAGGATGTTTATATGGGGGTCAGGCTGGATGCCCGGGGTTAGGCGCTACAGACTTAAGGTCACTTTTCCCCTGGGGTTGGCTTGCAGTTGCACCATATAAACAGCCCCTGTATATGGCAGTATATATTTTGTCTGGTAATTGGAGTCTTTCAGATTTTGTGTGTAAATGAATATAAAAATGACCCTTTACGGGTGGGTTGAGGGGGGTGTTTCTGTCAACATTTTGGAAAGCAATAATATTTTATTAAAAAATTAGAATAATCACATATTAAACTCTGATAGTAGTATATATTGTATTGTGTGTGATTAAAGTAAGGTTATTTTTTTTTACCCCACCTCTGCATGCAAGGATTTTTTGGCCACCCCACCTAAAGCAACTATTATTTTTCAGTTACCCCACCATTTTCTCTTCGGCCCCCACCCCTGCCATAAATAATGACGGGTCCCATTTAACAGAGTAAGGGTTATGAGAGCTACATAGTTTTACACACATCTTTACAGTGTGTAGGGTTTGTGAGAGGAAAATTACAATTTAGCTTGTGTTTCAGACCTCGAATGGTAATCTGCCTTAAGTGTGCCCTGCCCTGCATTATTACTTTTACTCTGTGATCTCTGTCAAATACCAGACAGTTTGAATCAGGGGCAGAGTTGTGCTATTTAAATGGGTTGGTCAGCTTAAATGATGTAAGTGAAACATGTTTATACTGTACATACTTGGTAATATTAGTAGTCTGATCTATACCAAATTCCTGCTCTTCTAGTAAATTATAGTAATCAAGATCTCCGGCACAGAATGTTGAACCTACAATGACAACACAAATAGCATCTAAGTATATCAGAAAGATTCTTCTTGATCCAATGATGTGCACTAGTTACTAGTAGTTATTAGATATGTGGGTATCTGTATTACAGTTAATGGAAAGAGCATAGAACCAGTACCTGGTCCAACTTCAACGCCTTTCTCAAGGAATCCTGATTCATGGTTAGCAGATTGTAACTGGTAGCACAGCCATTGTTGGTGCCGCATAGCCAAAGTAAAAGGTAAATTGGTGTAGTTTCCAATCACAGTGCTCAACTTTTTGAAGTAATGGTGTTTTGCTTCAAATCGCATGCACCAAGCTCGTACCAGAGGTCCCATTCTAAATGTTTTGAAGAATAATATGTTTCTGGTAATGAGAAAATAAGATTCATATTCTGGGCAATAATTGTACAATATACCAGATTTGATGATATATGAATATTTATATGTTTTACTGTTTTTGCGAAAGTGCAATTTTTTGAAGTAGTGAAAGTCAAGCATGAAAAGGGAATACAAAACAAAGTCTAAGCTAGAGGTGCAATTCCAGCCGGTTAGTTCTGGCCGGAACCCTGATGTTCTAGGTTTTCCGCTTCCGGGCCGGAACTAATAAAAAAGCATGGCTGGAACTGGAACTATCTTGTTTTGAGGGGAAAAGAATTTAATTATATTATAGAATAGTTTATTTATGAAAAAGACAGGGAACAGAGATCCGCATTCATATTCCTGTTGGTTTTCATATAAAGTATGCATCACAGCATCACATAAAGATGATAAAATTTAAATGTTACATTTTATCTAACTCCTGCAGAAAAAATGCATAAATTTCAAAATGCTGAAAGTTGCACAAAGAAACTGGTCTTTGGCTTCACCAACAACACAGTAAGAGGTACGTCAAATAATATGCATATATTAGTCTAAGTTCCGTTCCGGCTGGAACTTTTTTTTAGTTCTGGTAGGATCCTGAAATGTTTATGAAATGTCCTATGTTACCTCATCGTGGCAGTTGGCATATGTACCATGAAATGCATTTTCGGAATAATACTGCATTCTGGATAAAGCTCTCTAAATTTGTGATGGTGGTCATTGATAAGAACCTGCAGATAGGCAACTTGATCCTTTGATATAACAGGTGCAAAACAAAGTGATATGATCTCTAATAGCTTTAGATAAAGAATCCACCGGGCGTTTTCAAGTGGAATTAAATCTCCAATTATGAGTGGTATGTGTGTTGCCAAGCACCACATCTGGACAGCTGGAATAAGTGTGGAAATACATTATCATTCATGTAATCAATTTAAAATACAGTATGAAAGTACATTGCAACTGTACAACTAACCATGTTGTTTTAGACTGTTGTCATTTGATGAAAACTTTGCTTCAGTTATTGGTGATGGTTTGTTGGTGTCATTGTAATATCCAAAGTCATATTTGGCAATTCGATCATTCAGGATCTTCAATGTGAGGTAATGTTCCACTTTGATAAAGTTTTTCAACATCTCCTTTGTTTCATATTGCAACACACCCTCTAAAATGTCATGCATTATGTCAGGTGGCAAACCATCAACTACATGATAATAATTGCTCTCAGTTAGAATGGACTTTCGATTAATGCCATATGTTTTGCTGAAGTGTTCTCCGTATTTTTGAACTTGATCAGCTTGGATGTTGTAGCTTTCCTTGGTTCGTAAAACAAATTCTTTTTCATGAAACTGAAAGAGATTAATGGTAATTATTATTGATGATAGAAAAATTGTACACTGTATAATTATCTTACTTAGATCTGATCTATTTAGTTGGAAGGCAGAAGGCCCGTGGGTTTTAATGGCCAACTTAAAGTACAATACAGTAATATTTCTCATATGTTGTCTTACCTTAGATTTCATCTCTTCAGCTGTTGCAAGGCAGTATCGGCATGGCTTATTTGCACTGCAACTTTCTTTGAATCCCCCCAATAATTGTGCACCAAGGTTGTCTGCAGACGTGTATGCTATGGATCCAGTGATGTTCTCTTCACTTCCATTTATGGTAAAGGGATGACCATTTGGCTTTAAATAATGAGAAAAGGTTACGAGCTAATGTCATTGTATTGTTACGGTTAGCGTTACGATGAACTATCTTTTACTAGAGAAATGGCTGCTTTATGCATGTTCTTATGTAATTAACATTTTTCATCCGCAGTTGTGGTCATGTGGAAACTGTCTGTTAATTATTTTTAAAACAGTATTTAGTGCATACCTCTTCCAGCTTCTTCAAGTCTGTCATGAATGGCTTAAGAACTGCATCTATTCCATATTCTTTAATATTTGATGTTGTGCATAGACACAGAAGCTGAATAGCCTTCATAGATGAGCGATTCAAAGGATTAATATTACCCAGTGTGTAATAGAATGCTCCTGTAGAAAATTAGTTTAATTGTAAAATTTTTGCAATATATACAATTAATACTGTATGCTGTTAATTATTAATATTATATACGCGTAGATGTGTTTTATCATTCGTATGACTTGAAAACCAAATCCATCGAGCGCGACACATGACAGTTGATTTCATTTCGAAAGGTTGGTTATTCGTCTACCTGAAAAATAGAGCAAAATTCTTCAACGTTTCGAGCAAAGGCCCTTTGTCAAGAAGTGCATGGGCCTTGACAAAGGGCCTTTGCTCGAAACGTCGAAGAATTTTGCTCTATTTTTCAGGTATACGAATAACCAACCTTTCGAAATGAAGTCGACCGTC